ACCACTTCACTTTTTCTTTCATTTATAGCAATGTAAATCCAGAAGAGCACAATTTTATTATGAATGAAAACAACCTTGAGCGATAGTACAAATTCAAAATATGTGATGGCTTCAGCTCTGATAGAAACATTTTAACATTCGTGCTTTATTTCGGCAGCAAATTCTTTTCAGGTTAGAACTCGTTTGAAACTTGAAAAACCTTACAACAGATAAAGAGTAATTGGCTGGATTAAGTTTATAGCTCTCCTTATCTGGGCAGTTGCCCTGCACAATTAAATAAATAGATATTTGGATTACGCTCTTTCTTGATGTGGGATAGTATTAGATAACGCCCATGACAGGCTTTTAGCTACAGCGCAAACGTACGTAATTGCCATGGAGAATGTAATGTCCTGTTACCAAGCCGAGGTCTGTGTTTACCAGTGTTTTCCCTGCACTTGAAACTTCAAAGCGTCCTCGCAGGATTGCGACCTAAATTAGCTACTACAAACAAAAGAGTTGGGAAAGGAAAGCTGGGCTTTATGGCCATGGAAGCAGACAGGACAATGACTTCCTTTCACACATATCTGTTGCCTTCCTTGTGCGTACGGAGCTTCCAGGTACAGCTTTCAAAGAGACGCGAAATCAATGTTTCAGAGCATGGAATATCCTAAAGAGAGACCTAAAGTATGTTTAGATGGAACAGCTAAAAAGAAACTCCTCCAAGGCTGACTGGCCCAGCATTGAGGTCCTCTGTTATCCTACAGCTTGGTCCTTATCCAGTGCCCCATCTCGGAAGAGGTCAGAGAACCAAGCGCCGAGCAGTTACACAGCTGATAACCTCTGCTAAGTTGAAGTTCAGCTCTTAATTGGGATACCGCTGCTACCCATGCAAGGTGAAACGCCACTGCCCAGAGCCCAGTTTGTGAAGCCCCGAAGGGTTAAAGCCCACCTCTCTTCAGGGCTGCAGGACCTCTGCCACTGGCATGAGTGGGTGCAGCACTGGGCCATAAGTGCAATTCAGTATCGACGGGAGTTTGGTCTTGCACACTTTGAAGGAAACATCTGCTCTCTGTCAGAGCCATCTGCCGTGTAGCCTGCAGACCTCTGCCCTGTCCTCCACCTCGCCACGAGGATTTATTCGGGTGGAACTGCCCCCAACACCGGTGGGACTTGTGTCTGAGTAAAGACAACGCTAAACAAGCTCACTACGTATTATCCTGCCCTCTATCAGCCCTGCTTAAAGTGTCACGTCAGTAGTAAAATAGTAACCTTGCCTTGAACAGCGGAAGGTGTTTGCCTTCAGCGTGGTTGCGGCTAGTTTTGGGCTTCATCGCCTGGCAGCCCACCTCCTACGGACACACTGCAGAGCGCAAAAATTGCCCTTACTGTTCATGACACCTACATGGTACCACTGAGCCCACAGTCAAGCTACAGAGAGGAGTGAAATAAAAAATTTACACTGACGAAGTTGTGAATAAAATCAAGCCCATCTTCTAACTCTCCCTGCAAACTCTACAAGTCTTACACTAAGCAGCGTGTCTTCCCCTCTTTCTCTCTTTGTTGTCTTCCAGACTTCCAAATGCAGTATTTTACTGAGGAAACAGACCACATATGCCTCTAGCATGGAGTGCAATATTTGTCCATTTTATGGATACCGGCATTTTTATCTTCTGATACATTTACTTACTATTTTCCAGAACAGGTTTTGAAATAAAACATTTCTATGTAACTAATTTAAGCAATATTGCCAGAGAACTTTTAAAAGCATAAACATTTTGCTCTGAAAAGCCTAGCAGTCCTGTCTTCATCATCTTTATTAGTACTATTTCCATGATGTTATCAACAAATTGTTCTACTTACAGTTCCTAATTCATTACTCTAACAGTAACATAATCAGAAATACGCTAAAGTTTCTTCTTAGCATATATCTTTGTAAAAAAAAGTTTACATTTACGAAAGAAATTAGCCAAATTTGTTTTGAATCCACTTGAACGTAGCTCTTATTAATCAGGTTTTCTGGAGCTGAATGATCTTAGCGTTTGACATCTGAAACTTCCGTGGCTTTTTGTCTAAGCAAAGAAAACAGTGATAATGGACAACTTCCAGCTGCAAACCTTTTTTTTTTTGACATTGTACAGGTTTTATTTTGATTGATGAAGACAAGTTTTTCCAAATTTCAATTCGGTGATGTTGGAGTAGGCATTTCTTAATGTAATGAAAGCAGAAGCTTTAGCCATACAGGACATTTTAACTTGTGTTATAAAGCTTTAAGCCCTAAAAATCCTCAACCACCCACCCACACTCACTCGCTTTTAACCCTTACATTGCCATGTGCAATAGAAATGCAAGAGAAAACAGCATGTGCTGTAAAGAGGCTCAACACTGCGATCCCCTGGGATTGCTGGTTATTCTTACATATTACCAATTCGGGCTAGCCGCTGGCCAAAGGATGTTTCTATTGACTCTATGGCACAGAGGAAAAGCTCTAGGCCAAGTTAAAGCTAACAGGGTAAATACATTTAGACGGGCTACATGTCAGTGCATTATATGCCACTGATGTCATTTTCAAGTTTGTAAGAGGGCAGTAGTTTCCCAGCGCTTGAAACTCAGATCCAAACTGTGCACTGCTACATTACCGAGGTGTATACCTTTATATACGAGGCGCTGAGTTTTATCTTTCTACAAGAACTTAGGTTTATGTTATTTGGTGAAATATAACTGCAGATGGAAGAAATAGATGATTTTCCTCCTTCATCCTCTTTTGGCAGCTGCTGTTTTGATCTGATCACTGGCCCTGATTTGTTTCCTGCTCCAGCCAGGGTTCAGCTCTGCTCTGTAATTCCAAGCAGATGAGCTGGGGAGTCCAACCCTGTAATTACACCTCCTCTCTTTACCCTCTAACTTCAAACCTCCCATTTCAACTTTTACATCTCAGATCACAGAGTTTTAAAGAACACCTCTGGCGTTCCGGCAGGTCTGGCTCAACTAAAGACATTTCGGCGTTCTCCAGATTTCATAGCTGAGCTGTGAGAAGGGTATAAAACCCCCTCCTGGGGAACAAGGTCTCTTGCTCTTTCTTTCTCAAAACAAAATACACAACCAGAAGCCCATGCTTTTTATTATTTATTGAATACCATCTGCGTGCTTAGCACTTGTACAAACACAGAGAGAGACAATCCCTGCTCCACAAAATCAACCCCAGGAACAGCTTTCAAATCCTTACCCCAGCTTACAGATCTCACACTGAATCCATGTAGGTCACTTGCATTGTAACAGTTAAAATAAATTCCTCTTTTTATGAGGAAGCTCGGAGTCCTAAGAAATTTAACTGAAGAAGGCTGGATGCTACAAAGTACTTCAGAATTAGGAACACTCTTCAAAACGATGCTGTAACCGAGTAGGTTGAGTCACTCTTTCAGAACAATATCGCACCCGGATTTTTCAAATCTGGCTGCCAAATGTTAGACATACCTAAGCAGCTCATTAAACAGCCTCCTTTTCAGAAGTTGCGCTTGAAGAACACTGGCTTTCTGAAAACATGGGTTATCTGTTTA